CTGATTAAAGCTTTAATACAGTACGGCAACTGCACACGCGTCCATGTTTAACGCTTCTCATAGCTATGTGAAAATAAGTGTATAAATGGAATAGAGCTGATGATCTGAATGAGAGAGAGAGAGAGAGAGAGCGAGAGAGCAAGAGAGAGAGATGCAGAGTGTGTGCAGAGCAGGGGGACGCACGGAACAGTATTAAGAACCTCTGCTTTAGAACATTGATTTTGAAACTTGTGAATCCATTAGAATCGTTAGAAGACAGAATCGCGATTAATATATGAATCGATTTTTACGTGCACCTCTAGTTTTCTCTTCCTCTTCTCTAAAGCAGCGCAGCATGGCCTCGCCCCTTTTGCTGCCTTTTCCCGAGGGCGGGGTTTATCTGGGTTTGTGATGTCACGAACCAGGGAAGTAACTCATTGTAGTCCCTACCAGCCGTTTTTGTAGGCATTAAACTGGCAAAATTTTAAAAGACAATATCTCCGTTTGCATTGAACTTTCAGCTTTGTAACTTTGCAGATATTGTTTATGCTCAAACAGCAACATTAGACACTAACTAACGTTAAAAAAGTTAAATCACAATGAACCACCCCTTTAATTGCACTGCCCTAGAAAAGAGCCTCCCCCCCGATTCATCTTCCTTTTAACCTATAGCTCTGGAGGAGGCAGAGAAAGAGACGTTAAGTGAGAAAGAGACATTGAGGGAGACCACTCTCACTATCAGATGTCTCAGCTTACGTTTCTTGAGCTCAGATACAGGAGCTTGTTGTGTGGTGTCCAGTCTCTCTGGTGGAGTGAGTTTGAAAAATGTTTGCTTTTTTGTTTTGTTTCTGGTTTTGTTTTTGTATGTGTTTTGCTTTGCTTGGCTTAGACTTTGAGCGTAGATTTTTATGTTGTGATCAGAGTACCTGAGTTCCGTCTCATTGTATGCAATGTTCTTTTGAGACACTATTCATCAGTTAAGTAAAAGGAAGCAAAGTATTTGGGGGGTACAAATTATAACAATTCATACTACTGGATGACTGAGATTTTGGAAAATCCTACTGAAGTCAATGAGTACAGAAACAAAGCTTCTCTCTCTTGCCTTTGGTTCAGTCTAGGACATTCATGTGAATTATCTTATGCACAGTGAATGAACGATCGTTCAGTCATTTTCTTATTTCATCCATTGTAATGCCACCGCTTTCCTTTATGGAAATGGAACAGCTAAATACAATACTCACAGGTGTTACTGTGCAAGCCATATTTAGTGTCAGGATTCATAATGTTTTAGGATCATTCAAAAGATCTGAGATTTGAAATGTGTTCAGCTGGCTCACTGTAGTTGTTCTTGACATTTTTGACTCGAAGACTTCCTATTGTCCAAGACAATATTCAAAGATATTTCTTCTTGTATATCTTTTCAAACAGAATTTACAGAAACTAGGACTGTCAGTAAAATCAATAAAGTCAGTATGAAACAGAAGTTGCAATGGTCTTGTCTTCCCTGTTGTGACGTATCCATATATAAACTGTTGATGCGATGTCTTTGTGTAGAAAATGTTAGTATCAAGAATTTTGAGGGTTTTTTTTGTAGTAGGCTATGTAGTAGAAATGCATTATTCAGTAACTTCAGTTGCTATATGCTGAAATTTGATTGCATTGTAAATGCAAAGCTCCAGTGTTTTCAGTCAGATATGTGTGTGAACTCCTCCTCCTGGCCAAGGTCCCATTTAACCACGCGTGTTTACTTGTGGGCGAGTTCAGTCGCGTGTGTGTATAGTGGAGTGCTTGTGGTCTATCAGCTGGTTTAACCCCAGTGTTGTGATTTTAGAGCTGTGGAATCCAGGTCTTTGACTTTGACTCATGACCGTCTTGTCAGGAAGTGTTGTGTATTCTCCTGGTCTCCTCAGGCCAAGTGGACAGGAACTGGATCGCTGGTTACATGAAGCATGGACACATTATGATAAGCAGGATATGATGTGACACAGAGGAAGCTACTAAAATGTATTGTTTGTTTGAATATGTGTGAGAGAGCATTTATGTCTGAAATATGTACCAAAAGACTGACAGTAGTGACAACATGGATTTTATGCATTGTTGACGTCCTTCGGACCCACCAGAGTGTATGTGTGCTTTGAACTTAAGTCGCTTTCGCAGGCTCATTGTTTGTGTTTTTAGAGGGCTGTTTAAGCTCTGAGCAATTGAGATCCACGCTGGCGTGTACCTGCTGGCCCTTCTTCAGAAAAGGTAGGAGAGGCGCTCAGAATGAACTGAAACTAAAAAGCTGTCATAAAATGTGTCATATAGGCTTACCAGGTGGTTTCACGCTGATTTAATTTCCTTTTAATGTATGGGTGTTTTAATGTATGAGTTTTAATGTATGGGTGACCCTAATTTTGTTTGTTTGTTTTCATACTTTTTGGAATTATTTATAGATGTAAAATGCTTTTGTGTGATTATAACGGCCAATATTTATTACATTACTGTATATTCCAGTGTTCTCTGTGGAATACTTGATTCTGATTGTTTAAATAATGTACAATGTCCAGTGCAACTGACCACTCATCTGTTTCATTCATGGTTTATTTTACGATAAAGACCATGTAGGGTTATTGTCACCTTTATGCTTAGCTGTAACCTTATGATAGAGTGGTAGACACATCGTGGGACTGTTTTGGGCTGATTTAGCTGACGTGAAACAGTCAGCCATTGTTGTGTTGACCTTGCAGCTCTGGAATGCTGTAGTTTGCCATCATGGATTGTTGCACTTGTAGCTCTTCTGCCAAAATATCTGACACTATCATAGTCCCCAAGGCCACTGGCCTGGCATGCTTGCAGGAGACATCTGTCTGAAGTGTTGGTATCTGGACCTTTTCCTTTATTTCCTCCCAGGAGTCCAACCTCCTGTTAGTGTGTGCAGCATCCTGCTGTATATTTTGCTCTGACAGTTGAATATCGAGCTGATGAGACAGTCTTCTTTATCAGTGTAGATCCAAAGTCTTGGGATTGCCTTGCTTCCGTTCATTGCCTCAGTCGTTGTGTTCAGGTGACACCTCTAAACTGACTTGACTGAGAGCTTTCATTGTCTTGTCAGTGTGTTTTGATTCATCTGTGCATTCTTCATTGGAAATGAATGTTTGTGCTCTGATTAATGTGTTTGTTTTTATTCTGAACAAGAATATTCCATTATGCAGTGATCTAAATAGTATTATTATTACAAGACTAAACAGACTGAAGGCATTGCAAAGCTGATAGTTCATCCATTTACAATAACTTTCCCATAATCCTTCAGATCATATTTGTAGCACAAACAACAATAAAAATGTCAGAAATATTCAATTGAATTCAATTATCATTGTTCCTGCAAGCTTTTTCCATGTTTGTTGATTATTAGAACAAACAAACGGATATTAGAATAATCAATTATTCTGTAACTATAAAGATTTTAGAAATGTTTAAAAAAATAATAACAATAATAATAACAACAAATATTTTATTTATATATTTACTTTTTAAATAAATATGTGTGTGTGTGTGTGTGTGTATATATATATATATATATATATATATATAGAGAGAGAGAGAGAGAGAGAGAGTTTTTTTCACAAGTTTAGTAATTGTTGTTAGTTCTTCTTTGTTGATTGTACTTCTTTAAGGCCTCTGCAGTGACAGATTTGTGTTCTCCTCAGAATATGACGGACAGTTAGCACCCACCAAAGCCATGGCAGCGGCTTACCTGGACCCCAACCTGACCCATGCCTTGAACCAGGGGGTCAAGCCTCGCTTCAGTGCAGGGATGGAGCGCACGGCAGGGGCTCTGGAGCGTGTACTCAGAGTCTTCCACTACTTCGAGAGCAGTAGTGAACCCTGCACCTGGGCCAGCAACATCCGACACGGGGACTCAACCGATGTCAGGGTGAGTCTGCAGATCAGCTGTCCCTCTTAATGTTCTCCAGGATGTAGAATACCATATCGGACCATATCAGTTGCGGCCAAGAGAGAAAAATTCATTGTCACTGTTCTTATACATTTTTTGCTAATATTGAGGCTGATAATATCAGATTTTTGTTTATATGGCAGGTATCCATATTTTTTATTATAATGTTTTGATATGAAATTATGCATGCAGAATTCTATTTGGGAGCTTTTTTTATTATCTTTCAAAAATGTAAATTAATAACAAACTTATTACACAGTCATATTACTAAATAGATTTTTTTCATTCATCATTATTGAAAGCAAACAGACAATAGATGATCATATGAGCTTTTCAGTAAAACATAATTATTGGCTAATTTCTGGAGTTTTATCAGTTGCTCTATTATTGGTAGTAGGATTTTTTAAGTGACTTTTTAAGTTCTAAATAGTGTATTTGTGATGCTTAATTTTTGTTTTTGTACTTTGGTAGAACATTAGCCTTATTGAAACTGACAGTTACACCACAAACATTCCTGTGCAGGACTAAAGAGGATATTTCCTCTGATCTCCAGGCTTTTCAGCATTATTCAGAATGCAGCTTGCAGTGGCCTAGAACACTCAGACAATGGCATGCTACTCTAAATTATTTAATGAGGTTGGTTTTTGAAGCCAAGTAGCCGTACGACTTCAAAGCGCATTGTCCTGCTTTCATCCTTCACATGGCTGCCATTGTCTCAGTTCTCTGCTGTTTTATCCAGGTTTACATCTGATGCTTATCAGGTCTGAACCTCATCCAAACCTGGCCCAAACTAAACAGACTACTGCCACAGAAGTGTCACATTAACTCACACTACTTCAAGAAATGGAATAGATTGAATTGACGTCTAAGATGAAATCTGTGAGTTATTGCAGGTTGTTTTAGTGTGATAAAGCCCTATGATTAAGCCAGGTTTTCTCTTTTTAAAATGTTATTTGTTTTTTAGACTTCTTATATTAGTAGTTTATGATGTCTGTAAGGAGATTGAAAATTATTCATCACACACTAATGTGGCTTAGACATCCTGTTAGACATTGTATATTATGCCTCCGCAGACTCTTGAACATCCTGTTCTCTCTTGGTCTCATCCATCTCCTCTCTTGCCATTGCTCTCTTATATTGATTTGAACCACAGAACTTACTGACCCATAACATGACACATTAATCAAAGAAAGATTAAACTGAAACTCTTCTGGCTTCGAACCTATTTTTCTCAGAATATTCTCCCTCATTTTCTGTGAGATGTGTCCTGCTAAACTTTTATAGAGTGCTATATGTTGTCACCAAATGCTTGTGTGTGTTTTTCAGGGCATTATACAGAAGATCGTGGACATCCATAAGGTGAGGTGTGTGTCCTGCTTTGGTCTGCGCCTGAGCCACCCGAGAACAGGTGAAGTTCATTGGCTCCACCCCGACATGGGCGTGTCTCACGTGAGGGAGCGGTACGAGCACAGCCATCCCCAGGACGACTGGAGGTGAGTCACTGTTTCCATGCTGGTACCATAAGCATAAAAACATTGTTACAGTTAATAGTTGGTTTATTTATTAACTGTTTATTTATCAGTTAATAAATAAACCGTACAGGGTTGGTCTGTGTTTTTCAGCCAATGGCAAACAAGGAGATTATTTGGAAACCTACACTACCGTTCAAAAATGTGGTGTTAGTAAGATTTTTAAATCTTTTTGAAGGAAATCTCTTGCGCTCACCAAGGCTGCATTTATTTAATCATTTATTACAGTAAAAACAGTACTATTGTGAAATATTATTACAGTTTCAAATAGTTATATTTAAGATGTATTTAATTCCTGTTTAGCCAAAGCTGAATTTTCAGCATTCATTACTCCAGTTTTCAGTGTCACATGATCCTTTGGAAATCATTCTAATATACTGATTTGGTGCCCAAGAAGCATTGCTTGTTTTTATCAATGTTGAAAACAGTTGTGCTGCTCAATATTTTGTGGAAACTGTGATGCATTTTACCTTGATGCATTACTGTGATTCATTCTTTGATGAATAGAAAGTTTAGAAATATAATTTTTGTTTGTGACATTATAAATGTATTCACTGTCACTTTTGATGAATTTAATGCATCCTTGCTGAATAAATGTATTAATTTCTTTCAAACAGATCTGACCCCAAACTTTTGCAAGGTAGTTCAATATGATTTCAATTTAATTTGGTGACACTAGTGAGGTAAAAGTTGGTATGGTATTTTGTCTTTTTTTTTTAAGCTCTCTTTATTAGTGACAAACATATATATATCAGTCAGGCCAATGAATTGGCTGATAACATTATATTGGCTACCTTACATTTTTGATATCAGTATCAACATTAGCCTTTGAAAAAATGTGTCGTTTAAATGTCTAGTTTACTTTGAATGTGTTCTCATCACATATTTTTTTATATGCATTTAAAATGAAAAGAGAACCAAACTGTGAGCTTTCTGTAGAGGAAAGTAATCATGCTTTAGATTGTGGCATGTCTTATTTCTGTCATTGTTCCCCCTCCTGCTTGATGTTTCTGTCTGTAATACAATCAAAACACCTCTTACATCTGTGAAATAGCACAACTTTGACATCTGAGACCACTGTGGGGCTGTGGTACATTATTATCTTTTATATTATTTTCTTTGTCTGCTGGTCCCTACTGTCACTGGTGGTCTATTGAAAGAAATGATGGTGGTTTGAGCATAAAACCATCCAGAAAAGTGTTAAATTATGCAAACTTTCCCTTGTTTAATTGCATGAAACCGGAGTCTTGTTCCAAAGTCTTTATATCAAATACGTGCCATGTTATATCTGGGTCATGCCTGTTTTATGAGGATGACACTGCACATCGTTCTGTTGTAAAGCATTATCAGAGTGAATGTGCTGTTCTTCTAGAGGATGAAAGGATGATATAATGGCTTATGTATAATTCATACAGTGGGGGTGAATAATTCTGCATCACGATGAGGGTGACCCAGTGGGCGGAGCTTCAGAATGAATGTGGCTCGTTATAGTGAGTTTTATCTTAATGAAGCTAAATAAAGCAGTCCATGCTTAATTGCTCTATTGTTTATATTCCATTCACGCAACCCAGGGCTTGTTTCAGCCATCTTCTTTCTTCAACCATTCATTATGAATGAATGGGCTTTTTATGCGTTTACCGGGGAAGTCCGTGGTTCAAAGGATGAGCTTGATTCTGTTTGCCCTCCAGCAGAGCCCTGATAATACATGCAGCATTTGCTTTAAAGCAAGACATTTTACCCTCTGCACATGCGGATCAGCAGGTTAAATTCCTCCTCTTCAGTTTGTGCAGAAATGAAAAAGAAATGGATAGGATTTAACTGCAGGCTCCCTCTTGTTTTTCAGTGTGTATTATCATGTTTCCCACATGGAATAATGTTATTATTCAGCACAGCCTAAAGTACGGTGTGATAAACTGATTTAAACCAGAAATCCAAACTGGTTCTATTTTAATAATACTGCTCTGTTTTGGGGGGAATCTGTGCTAGCATATGAAGAAGAATCAGGTTTACTGGTGATATTTTGATGGGCCTGATCGTGGAGAAACAGCGTTTCTGCAGTTGTTTTGATATTGAAGCTGTAGCAAAACCACAACATATGATATAAGTTCAAATTCAGTTCAGTTCAATTCAATTTAATTCATTTTTATTTGTATAGCGCTTTTCATGATACACAGCAAATGAAAGTTTCTACGTTAAAATTAGGAGTAGTTTATCAGTGGTAAATATGTCAATGTGTTGTCCTTATGGCAAAAATGTACAGTTCTAGGATAGTAAAAGTCATGCAGTTAGTTAATGATGTAATCAAACAAAAATGGTGAACTCGATTAACAGCATTGATTATATGTTGTGATCAAAATTAATTCAGTAATGAAAATTTGGTAGTTTGTATGTCGTCATCTGAGGTCCTTGGAGGGGTAGGCTTCCTTCATCTCTTCTCAGGTTTTGGATCATCTTAAATCTTCATAAAAGTAACTGTTTTTGCACAAATGCTATAGAATGAGCTAAGAACTGAAAGGAATAGTTCACACAAAAATGAAAATTTGCCTAAAATCTACTCCCCCTCAGGTCATCCAAGACGCAGAGGAGTTTGTTTCTTCATCGGAACAGATTTGGAGAAATGTAGCATCACATCACTTGCTCACCAGTGTATCCTTCCTCTGTAGTGAATGGGTGCCGTCAATGAGAGTTCAAACAGCTGATAAAAACATCACATTAATCCACAGTACAGCTCAAGTCCATCAATTATCATTTTGTGAAGCGAGAAGCAGCGTGTTTGTAAGAAATAAATCCATCAAGTTATTTTAACTTTAAATCGTCGCTGCTGATGAAAAATACCAATTCATAATCCTTAATAAGTTTTCCTCCAGTGAAACATCCATCCCTCACATCAAAATCCACAGACATTTCTGTTCAGAACTGTTTTGGACTGTTTTTGCTTGTAAACTCCTGATTCAGACGAGACGGCTTTTCCACTAGAGAAAGCAATATTATGGATAGAGGACTCGTATTTTTAGCCGTAAACAATGGTTTGAAGTTAAAAAATGGTTCCACAAAGCATTATAAAACTATTTGAAACTCAGTTTGTCTTCATGTTCTGTGCATTGTGTGTGAGGCAGATGGCAGCAAGTTCAAGGTGCATCATCCATAGCCAGTTTAGAGAACATGGTTTTGAACGTGTGAGGCAGGTGCCGCAGCATTCTGCCTCCTGCTCAGGTAGAGAGATGTGTAAAACTAATTTAGCGTAATTGAGAGCAGACAGTGAACCAGCTGTGAGAGAACGGGGTGTGATTTTTACCTCCCAGACAGACAGCTGCTGAGGGCACTAATACTAATACTACGGTAATTGTGTTGTCTGGCAGACTTTAGAAGATCTTGTCTCACCAGCATCTCTAAACAGTGACATATGAAAGGGAAGATGAGTAAACAGCTCTATAATCTGAACCATTCAGGCACACAGTGAAGGTGTTCAACCTGAGGGCTTCATTTTCTAAGGCATCTGTTGTGATTGGGCTGCCAATCATTGATGATCACTTGTGATTGATATTCCTGTGTGATTATTTTGAGCTTTATGCAGAGATTCTACAGGTAGAGCTGACAGCATGTGGAGTGTGTTTTGTTATTAGATAATTTCTTTCCCTCTCTCTTCTCTCTCCAGATATGAGCTACGGATTCGATACTTGCCTAAAGGATTTTTAAACCAGTTTACTGAGGACCAGCCAACTCTCAACTACTTTTATCATCAGGTGATGGATAGTTTAATCTGGCAGCCTGTGTTCTGCTGCCAAACCTTCTGCTAATGTCTCTGTATAGACATTTCCTCCTCTCTTCCAACACCACATGGGTGAGTCGCACGAAACCTGTCAAAAACATGCTGGGGAAGGGGGGTATTTCACTCCAAAATAAAATGAAGCTGTAAACTATAGTTTTTAATATTTTATTTTATTAGGTCAGTGAAACCAATATTGTAGCACCAATACAATGTTTTGCAATTTGATATTATTTCCATGACTATTAAGCATGTTCACTCTCCAGGTCTCAGTACAGTATTGCAAAAAACAAACAAAAAAAAACATAAAGTAAAATATGAATGGTATTATAATGTTATACTAAAATTAAAATAATGGGAAAAACCCTTAAGATAACATGTAGAAAGAAAAAAACGCATCTTAAGCACGCAAAATAACATAAGTGGACTTTGAACGTTTAATTGCCGCTTTGAACAATTACGTAATTGTTGCATCCATAATTGTAATCGCGATTAGAAATTCGATTAATTGTGCAGCCCTACATTAAATTGTAAAAATATTTCCACATCATGGTGGTCTTTGTTGTACTGCTTTAATTTTTGCAGATTTTAATGTTAGATTTTTAGCAAAAATGAGAACCATCATTGTCGTGAAAATGTCACAATGCAAAAAATTGCAAATAAAATAACAGTCCTACTCTAGGTTTATTTTTCTTCATGTAAATTGTATTTATCTTTATATTTTACATTGTGTAATGTGTATGTATTTTTTTTTTTTATTTTATTTTGGGGTGAAATATGACCCATTTTCGTGAGATTCACCCACACAGTGCTTTAACAAAAGAAACTGAAAGGTGGTTTAGTGTTCAAGGCTCAGGGTCCGTAGCTGGTTTGATCCCTGCCAGGTTACAAAGATCAAACCATAAGCTCACAATCGCCATTGTAAAACACTTAACCGACAGGTGACTGGCCCTGTAATAAGTTCTTTTCTCTCTTCTATGGTGTCGACATGAAAGTCACCGAAACCAATTCCACTTGGTCCTTTTGTGGCGATCTATAGAAAATATAACAAGATAATAAATTAGGAATAACAAGAACGTTTGATTTAAATGGATTGTGAGGAAAGTACATTAAACTACATCAAACATCATTAACTTCATGACTAGCAAATTAGCTCAGTATTATTGTGTTTGTTTTAAATTGAAACTATCAGGTCATAATATTTATTTTTTATTTATTTGATATGCAGTATCGGCCTGTTCCAGAGGAGGAGGGAAATTTATAAATTCTGTCATTATCCAACCTGTATGGTCAGTGTTGCCTTGTACCTTTCTCCTTGCCTTGCCTAATATAAATGTCTGTGTGCCCAGGTGAAAAGTGATTATATGATGGGGATTGCCGATCATATTGATCAAGATGTAGCACTTAAACTTGGCTGCCTTGAAATCAGGTATGTGATACACAATACCGTTCAAAGGTTTGGGGTCGGTAATTCATCAGAGAATCCTGAAAAAATGTATTGCCGTTTCCACAAAAAATTAAGTAACACAACTGTTTTCAACATTGATAATAATAAGAAATGTTTCTTGAGCACCAAATCAGCATATTAGAATGATTTCTGAAGGATCATGTGACACTGAAAGTTGGACACAGAAAGATGAAAATTCAGCTGAGCCATCACAGGAATAATATTTTTTTTTATTTGTAATACATTTTCACAATTTTTCAGTATTTTTGATCAAATAAATGCAGTTTTGGTGAGAGATTTTTATTTTATTTATTTTTTCAAAAATATCTCTTACCCACCCCAAACTTTTCAACGGTAGTATAAATGAGTAAATGTAAGTGTTTTTCCATGACTTAAGACTGAATTCAGATAAATCACCTTCCTCTTCTCTGTTACAGGCGGTTTTTCAGGGACATGCGTGGAAACGCCCTGGATAAAAAATCAAATTATGAATTATTAGAGTAAGTAATGCTGTCTGTGTTTGGATCATTGGTGTCGTGTTCTCACACTGTGTCCATATTTACATGAATTATATGTTTCTTCAGGCAGCATTATTTTAGTTAACTTGAGGGATTTTGGTCCAATTAGTTGTGATGTTTTTTCACCTCAGAATAAAAAAAGTAGTTGTGAGAAAGTGAAAAAATAAACTTTACTTTGTTTTGTAATAAATAAAGTTGACATTTGTGAAATGTAAAGTCACAATTAAGAGTAATCAGGAGAAATAAGGTTGCAGTTGTGAGATATACAAAAGCAATAGAAATATTCACAGTTGTGAGAAAAATTTGCAGTTACCAAACATGGGCTTCCATAGGGAAACCTGGCATGACACCACAAAAAAAAAAAAAAAAGTGTTGTCACTGTCATGACAGAAACTTGGATTAACTTTTTTGCATTGTGCCTGAACATTATGTGAGAAATTAAATTCCAATCGGTTCGCATTCTCATATTACTGCAGTGTTCACTTATGATGTAATGCTGTCAGTGTACTTCAAACCAAGCTCATACTAGACTGAAAGGAGTACAGTAGTTCTTTGAACCATTAGAGGATTTCTCTTCATCTCTTTTCCTTTCAGATTGTGTGTATATGGGTCAGAATAACTAGTGCGTGTTGCATGGCCCTCTGAAACCTGTCTGATCTATTTTAGTAGAGTATAATTGATCTTTGCGTATCTCCTGCAGTGGTGCAGGGTCTCCATTACTGTAGTGTTGCTTTACACTGGAAGAGACAATAATCTGTAATAATGGCTCAGTCACAAACAAGTTGCGGTCTCATTTCTTGTGCTTTTACCCCAAAATCTGATGTTTCACTTTCTTTAAAGACTGAAGTCAATGTATTTCTGGTATCCTCTCCCTGCAGGAAGGACGTTGGTCTGCGGAGATTCTTTCCAAAGAGTTTATTAGACTCGGTAAAGGTAATAAGACATTTCTTATGCTCCTGCGATGGCTTCCTCAAGACAGTGGTTGTCTTGATTTATTGGATGTGAGAAAATGCTATTGTTCAGGCAAAATCAATGATATTACCTGCCTGGCTTCCTCTGTGGTCTCACACCCCTGAGATGTTTTGGCCCAGTTCTGTTTTCCTTCTCTCTCTCTGAAGAAGCCACTGAAGGGAACCGTTCTAATGAAATGCAGCTTGCCAGAGAGCCAGTTTCCTTTTCCACCTGACCTACCTAGTCCATTTCAGTCTTTTAGTGTGCTGTGGCATACTGTCTACTGTTATTTTAGCTGTTTGTGAAGTGCTGTTATTGGTAAAGTTTGGTATATTTATTGTGAACATTTCTATACAGATAAATTGCCATGATTTTTACTCTTTTAAAAGAAAGTAACCCATGAATGGCTTTAAATTAAATTAAATAACAGAGTTTTTTTTTCTATTAATAAAAATAAATGTATATAAATATTTATTTTTTTATTAAAAAAAAAAAAAAAAAAAAAAAAAAAAAAATA